GTAACATGTTACCGAGACAAAATAACATGTTACTATCAAACAGAATAACATGTTACTGTTATTGTTTATATCATTTCAACGATAATAAATTTTTTTTAAAAAGAATTTCATAGTCAAGATAGATCTTATTTGATATATTTTGATCAGAGAATTATAAAAATGTTAATTTTATTAAAAATTTACATTTACATCAAAAGTTTTATTATTTTAAAGTTTAATATTTTTATAATAGTGATATTTGTTAAAAAAAAATTTATCTTTATTAAAATTTTATTGTAAGAGGGTTGAATGTCCATTAATTGTTCATAGATTAATTGTCATGGATTAATTGTCAACATCGTAAATGACTCTCATTAATTGTTCTTGAAAGATTATAGTCATTAATAGTGTGAATTCGGTTTGAGCATCTCCAATTCAGCATTGGATGCTTCATCAAAAATTTGAAATGTGATGAAAAGTGTTAAATGAGGCGTTTTAACTCTTTCGTTAAATTCATATTAAATAGAGGCAAAATTAAAATTTTTATCAAATGAAAGGATCTTTTTATTTTTCATGAAATTTAAATTTACAATTTATTAATTGTCAACATCGTAAATGACTCTCATTAATTGTTCTTGAAAGATTATAGTCATTAATAGTGTGAATTCGGTTTGAGCATCTCCAATTCAGCATTGGATGCTTCATCAAAAATTTGAAATGTGATGAAAAGTGTTAAATGAGGCGTTTTAACTCTTTCATTAAATTCATATTAAATAGAGGCAAAATTAAAATTTTTATCAAATGAAAGGATCTTTTTATTTTTCATCAAATTTAAATTTACAATTTTAATAATTTTTTTTTGTTCATGTCCGACATTCGTTAAAACGTTTTCCTCGACAATTGGAAATATGAAAAAATTTGATAAAAGTTTTGATTGGAGTATTAGAGTGAACGGTATTAAATCAAAATTTTCATTAAAATTTTATTCAAATTTGATAAATTTTTTTATTCACCTTTGGAGATGGTCTAAGAGTGACTTGGAAGTTGAATTTCAATGTAAAAAGTTAGTGTGTAAAAATAGTATAACAAAAACCAAACATGGTTAAAAATTTACTTTCAAATTACAACTTTGAAAACACAAACAAAACATTAGAGCATTTACAATGGAGTGGCTAAAAATATGTGTTAAAATATGTTATATGATAAAAAGTGAGATCCAAAAATGTGCGTTAAGAGTTTATTAATTTAGTGAGTGAATGGTGATATGATGGATGTATTAAGATGTGTGTTAAGGTGTATGTTAAATATATATATATATATATATATATTTATATAAACAATAAATAACATAAATAAATAAATAATTTAAAAGTGTAGTGGGCCCACCCCACTGCACTGTTTCAGCTTCCCTCCCCCTCTCTCTCGGCCGGCCAAACCACTTGTTAACTGTGGCCAACCCATCAGCATCTGACCCTAACATGTTGCACTCGCCAGCCCATTAATAGTTCCATTGGAGCTCAAAATAATAGTTTTTAACTAGTTAAATTTTTAACAGCTTACACTAACACATCTACCAAGGTTGGGAGATTTGGAAAAAAAAATTTGAAAAAGAAAAGAGAAACTATATAAAACATTAGAGCATCTATAATGGAGTGGCTAAAAATATGTGTTAAAGTATGTTATTCGACAAAAAGTGAGACCCAAAAATATGTGTTAAGAGTTTGTTAATTTAGTGAGCGAATGGTAATATAATGGATGTGTTAAAATGTGTATTAAGAATATATATATATATATATATAAACAATAAATAAATAATTTAAAAGTGTAACACTGCACTGTTTCAACTTCCCTTCCTCTCTCGCTCTCGGCCGGCCAAACCACTTGTTAACTGTGGCCAACCCATTAGCATCTGACACTAATGTGTTGCATTGGCTAGCCTATTAACAGTTCCATTAGAGCTTAAAATAATAGTTTTTAACTAGTTAAATTTTTAACAGCTTACACTAACACATTCACTAAGATTGAGAGATTTGGAGAAAAAAAATTTTGAAAAAAAAAAAGAAAAATTATATGAAATATATATGCATATTTTATTCATATTTCACTTATCTTTTTCTTTTTTCTTTTTAAATTCTTTCTCAAATTCTCTAATCAAATACAACGTAAGAGTATCCACAATGAACATACTAAACGGTGTGTTATTGTTAGCTGCCAATTTTTTGACTAGTTGTGGATTGAAATTGTGCTGCAATAGAAGTGTTAATGGGCTGACGAGTGCAAAAAGTTGGTGTCAGATGTTAATAGGCTGGCCACAATTAACAACTGGTTTGCCCCACCGAGAAAGAGAAGAGAAAGAGAGAGGGGAAGCCGATGCAGTGTAGTGGGGTGGAGGCCATTACATTTTTTAATTATTATTTATTTTATTTATTGTATATATATATATATATATTCTTAACATATACTTTAATATATTAATTGCATCACCACTCTTTCTTTTTAAAATTAACAAATTTTTAACACATATTTTTATCATTTTTTATTATATAACACATCATTTTTTAGTGACTCCATTATGAAAGCTCTAAGGTCCCGTTTGTTTTTAGAGATAGAATGGAAAGAATTGATAGTGAGGGGATTAATAGTGAGGGGATTGATAATGAGAGAATTAAGTAAAATTGTGTTTATTTTGATGATAATTGTTAGTGTAGGGATTGTTAAATTATTTTTATACAAAATAAATATAAAATAATAAAACAAATAAAAAAAATACAAAAACATTAAACATTAATGTTTTAAAAAAAATGCCCAACATGTAAATTTTTTTTAAAAAATAAAAATAAAAAAAAAATTTCTAGAAAAAAATAAAACAAATAAAATAATGGTTTTTACTTAACAAAAAATATAAAAAATTAAACATTAATATTAAAAAAAAAATGCCCGACATGTAAAAAAATAAAATAAAAAATTTCTAATCCGCCAGACTATTTTTCTAATACGAAGTCTTGGAAGTCCATCCGAATCCCCTTCGAGAGGCCATCCTAATCCGGAACTCACTCTCAATTCCCTTTTCATCTCTCAAAATAAACATGATTCTAATAAATCTCACCTTATTACCCATCCTAATCCCCCGCTAACTCTCCAAATAAACGAAGGCTAAGAGTAACAACAATGATCCATTGGTGGTGAAATAGTTTTGTTCTTATAATATTATTAAATTACACCAAAGATTCTCTAGAGTGTTTTTTTCTTAAAATTTTTTAAAGTGGTGTATTGTGTGGTTGAGATTTAATGCTAAAAAATTGATGTGACTTGTCATTAAATCTCAACCACACAATACACCACTCTAAGAAACTTTAAAAAAAAAAACCTCTAGAAGATCCTTGCTCATTAAATTATTGTAAAGCGCTGACTATCAGAGAATATCTTCTATGTTGCGTGCCGCTAATTGAAGCTAAAAAATTGAACCAAAATCAATCAAATTTATTACTATTTCTTTTTTTTCTTTTTTCTTTTTTTTTTCCTTTTCTTTTTGCATGTTAAAATGGAAGAGGGAAAGAAAAAAAAAATTGAGGTCGCTATAACTTGGGTAAAATAAAACAAATAAAATAATAATTTTTACTTAACAAAAAATACAAAAAATTAAACATTAATGTTCAAAAAAAAATGCCCGACATGTAAAAAAATAAAATAAAAAATTTTTAATCCGCCAGACTATTTTTCTAATACGAAGTCTTGGAAGTCCATCCGAATCCCCTTGGAGAGGCCATCCTAATCCGGAACTCACTCTCAATTCCCTTTTCATCTCTCAAAATAAACATAATTCTAATAAATCTCACCTTATTACCCATCCTAATCCCCCGCTAACTCTCCAAATAAACGAAGGCTAAGAGTAACAGCAATGATCCATTGGTGGTGAAATAGTTTTGTTCTTATAATATTATTAAATTACACCAAGTATCCTCTAGAGTGTTTTTTTTAAAATTTTTTAAAGTGGTGTATTGTATGATTGAGATTTAATGCTGAAAAATTGATGTGACTTGTCATTAAATTTCAACCACACAATGCACCACTCTAAAAAACTTTAGAAAAAAAAAACTCTAGAAAATCCTTGCTCATTAAATTATTGTAAAGCGCTGACTATCAGAGCATATCTTCTACGTTGCGTGCCGCTAATTGAAGCTAAAAAATTGAACCAAAATCAATCAAATTTATTACTATTTCTTTTTTTTCTTTTTTCTTTTTTCTTTTTTTTTTCCTTTTCTTTTTGCATGTTAAAATGGAAGAGGAAAAGAAAAAAAAAATTGAGGTCGCTATAACTTGGGTTTGGATTTGATACAACTGTTTGTTTTACCCTTGTATTTGGGCTTCAGCTTCTGAGGCTGAAGTGTAGCTTCTTCTGGGTATATGAAAAAAAGAAAAAGAAAAAGAAAAAAAAGAAAAAGAAAATTTGAGAGAAAGGTAAAGGTTTGTGGAAATTTTGGCATTTGGGTTGTTGTCTTATATGTGCATTTGCATGATGAATTTGTTGGTTTTTTTTGCCTTCGGAGTGTCTCTACAAGAATTTTGAGTGAGTTCTTTTTCAACATTCTTGCCAAATTTTGGAGTTTTGGTATATTTGCTCAAAGCGTGGCTTGTTGATTCTGGGTTCTTGCAGCAAACCTGTTCAGTGAACGTGATTAGCGATTTGGGTTCTTCTCTAGAAGCGTTTGGGGATCTGGGTTTTGCTCAAAATTGTGTTTGGTGGACTGGGTTTTGCTCTGGAAAGTGTTTTGTGATTGCAGTTGGAGTGTTCGATAAATTGGGCCAGTGGTTTTACTTTAGACAGAAATTGATCGTTGAACTTGTTTGGGTTCTGTGTAAACTTCATGAAATCTTGAAAATTTCTATAGTTGCTCATATACCAGCTCATTTACTTGACTGTGGATAGTGATCTTTTTGTGGAAGTCGATGAAATTCAGAGTTTGGGCAGTGAATCAGCTAAGTGATTGTTTAGAGATTTTGATTTGCCTAAAATTTGATATGGGTCATTGTGAATTTCGTTTTTGCACAATAACAATGGGAATCTTGTAAAGTAATCATGAATGGTTAGAGATTTTCTTTATTTTTTTCTTTGGTAGTCTGAGAATTTCGTGATGTTGTATTGCAATTGATATTTTGTATACAATTTTGAGATGGCAACTACTTCGCCATCTCCAAATTCTTCCCCCTCTGCTATCTCTCCTGAGTCCACCCCTCCACCACCTCAGCCTTCCTCTCCACCAACTCAGCCTTCTTCTCCTCAACTGGCTCCTCTTACTACTCCATCTTCTGATCCCAATGCGAATCCACCAGACCTTGTAACTCCTTCTCCTCCATCCCCACCACCTCAATCACCTCCCACCCCTAACCTCACATCTCCTCCTCCTTCCTCCCTATCTCCACCACCACTACTCACGGTGTCTTCACCGACACCCGCTGCCAGTTTGCCGTCGTCTACAACATCACCTCCTCCTCAATCTGTTTCTCCTCCCCCAGCTAATGTTCCACCTCCATCCTCAAATTCTCCACCACCACCACCACTTTCAAATCCACCAGCAATTTCACCTCCACCTCCATCATCAAATGCTACTTCACCTCCACCTCCACCTCCATCGGCTGACCCACCAGCCATTTCACCTCCACCACCATCATCTAATCCACCAACAGGTTCTCCTCCACCTCCATTATCAGAAACCCCAAAGAATTCACCTCCTCCACCCCAATCAAAGCCACCAACAAGTTCACCTACCCCTCCGTCATCACTGCCTCCTGAAAATTCTCCACCCCCACCATCGTCAAAGCCACCAGAAAGTTCAACCCCACCACCAGCATCTAAACAACCACCTCCTTCACCGGCATCAATGCCACCCATTGCATCACCACCTCCACCTCCTTCACCGGCATCAATGCCACCCATTTCATCACCACCACCTCCTGGGCTTAATTCTTCATCCAGTACTCCGTCAGCTTCTCCACCCATTGCATCACCACCACCACCTCCTGGGCTTAATTCTTCATCCAGTACTCCATCAGCTTCTCCGCCTTCCTCAAATTCTCCTCCAAAATTACTACCACCACCACCACCACCACCACCACCCATAATGCATCAATCACCGCCTCCTCCCTTACTTCTGTCTCCACCCTCTCCTCCTCCTCCTTCTCCTTCTCAAGTTCCAGATCCACCATCAAGTAATCTAACGACCAACAATTCTAGTGCCAATGCACCAGAAATATCAGTCACCACAGGTAATGGGGGCCTTAGTACAGGAGGTACAGTGGCTATTGGTCTAGCACTAAGTTTCTTACTGCTTAGTCTCATTGGAATTGCTGCCTGGTGCATAAGAAGGCAAAAGAAAAAGGTTTCCGGCATTAATGGTGGCTACATTTTGCCAACCTCATCTTCCTACAAATCAGGTAATTTTTAAAACAAAATTGTCTAACGTAAAAAGGTTCCTTCAAGATGTTATACTTTTCCCTTCCTATCTCCCTTAAAAATTTTCAATTCATGTCTTCATGTGTATGTGTCTGTATTTTGTTCTTACCTTCAACTTGTTCAGAATTATTGACGCACCAAATGTTCAGTCTTGCCATATTATTTATTAAAAATTGTCTTGTTTTTTAAGAACAAGACTTTTTAATTCATTTCCTTGCAATGTTTGCTTTGCACACAATGCAATTGCATATATGTTTACATGAGACTTTGGCAATATGATGGTTCATGATTTTTGTCCAGATTCTGCCTTGTTAAAGGCACAGTCATTGGCAACCCATTTTGGAAGTAGTTCTGGCAGTGATATTGTATATTCGCCATCAGAGCCAGGTGGTTTAGGCAGTTCATCAAGATCGTGGTTTACATACGAAGAACTAGTGGAGGCCACAAATGGGTTTTCAGTGCAGAATCTTTTGGGTGAAGGTGGATTTGGTTGTGTATACAAAGGGTACCTAGCTGATGGGAGAGAGGTTGCAGTAAAGCAGTTAAACATTGGTGGGGGACAAGGGGAGCGAGAATTTAAAGCTGAGGTTGAAATTATTAGTCGCATACACCATCGTTATTTGGTTTCACTAGTGGGTTATTGCATTTCTGAGAAACAAAGACTACTTGTCTACGACTATGTCCCTAACAACACCCTTTACTTCCATCTTCATGGTAAAGTTTCATTTTTGTGATTTGAAGGGTTGGTTTGTCATGGTGGCTAACTAATGTTGGGGGTTTTGCACTTTTGTAGGAGAAGGTAGGCCAGTTATGGATTGGGCAACACGTGTGAAAATTGCTTCTGGTGCTGCTCGTGGAATTGCTTATCTCCATGAAGACTGTATTATCTATATTCCTCATTTTTTTATTTGATGATTATGACTTCCCTTAGTTCTTTAAAATTCTACTATTATTGCTCTATTTTGTAAGTTCTTGCAATCTATATGGAATGACCCCCTTGAGTTTTTGAAAATTCTTCTATTGAATTGGACCCTCTATTTCATGAGTATTATTACAAATGCATATGAGATTGCCCTTAAGTTTTTGAAAAAAAATTCTTCTGAGTATTCTTACAATGTATATGTGATGAGCCCCAACTATTCCACACAACATGTAAATGTCATTTGTTGTTGTTTCTATTGTATAAATCACCAAAGTAGATTTATGTTTTTATTTAAATTATATCAACCAGTAAAATGCCTTAAAATGGCAATATAATCGAAGTTCCTAATTTATAGCTCAAAAAATTGTATGAAATAATTGAAATAACTATTAGGAAACAACTAATATAGATCAATTCCTTCGTATTAATTTTAATAAACTCTCTTTTTTTTGGAAAAAGATTCGGACCCCCTTTTGGGGTCACCCCCATGACCCCTTTTGCTTTTGATTGGTCAATTTTTTCTTTTTTTTTCCAATCACCAACCCCCACGTGTGTGTGGGGGTGGTGGGGGTGGAAGTTTGAGGGGGTCTCAATCATATCCCTTTTTTTTTTTGTCTTTTTCTTTTTTTGTGGGCAAAATACTGTGCACAGGGTAACATAGTGCATTTCATGCATAATATGGAGCCTTTATGTATAGTTTTATAGTAAACTCGAATTATTAAATATATTTGCTAGCTAACTCTCCAACTACACATGGCAGACAAAATATCCAAGTGTCAAGTGCCCGACACATGCGCTTCATACATTTAGTATAGTTCATTTAACATAGCTCACATCTAAAATATTACAACTATACGTTGATTGTAGGGAACAAAACTAGGTTCCCATAAAGGAAATTCCAGTATATGAGATGAGAGGAGGGATGAAATAACCAATGTTATTATTATTTCAAAAATAAATATGATTTGTTTTGACAGAAAAAAGGTGGGTTATTTGCAATGCCATTTTATTTCTAAATATGTCACGACCTTGCATCTGATCTTAAAATCTTGGTGTCCTCTACATCAGTCACCTCTCATTTTTTTAAATTTTGTCTTGACTATGACTATGTATCTTGATCAATAATGAATCTTATTGTTAACTATTAGAGTGACTGTTTCCATTGAAGATGTTGCTTTGTTTGTTGATGTTTTCATATTGATTCTATATGCATGACAGGCCATCCTCGGATTATTCACAGGGATATTAAGTCAGCAAATATTCTTTTAGATAACAACTTTGAAGCTCAGGTATGTGTAGTTTTCACAAATGTCTTTCTTTTTTCTTTTTTTATTTTATTTTATTTTATTTTTTTTGTGTGTATTTCTCTTGTTAGTCGTTAATGTTATGTCTAGAATGTAGTTTCACAATTCCTGTTTTTTCACTTTACAGGTTTCTGATTTTGGGCTCGCTAAATTAGCTCTCGATGCAAATACACATATAACCACACGTGTTATTGGAACCTTTGGGTAGGCAACCCCATCCTTGGTTGGTGTGGATAATCACCAAGAATTTTAAGAGACATGTTTTTTAAATATTTTGATTGGTTTGATTTCAGATACATGGCTCCTGAATATGCATCAAGTGGCAAACTGACCGAGAAATCTGACGTATTCTCATTTGGAGTTGTTCTTCTGGAGCTAATTACTGGACGCAAGTCTGTGGATCCATCTCAACCCTTGGGAGAGGAGAGTCTAGTTGAATGGGTAGGTTTTGTGAATATGAACCTGGTCCTACGTTTTCTTTTACTATGGCATATAACTATAATCAAGTTTTAAATTGCTACTTTTATGTTTAGGCATGCATGAACTAGTGATACATTTAGCAGATCTATTTGGCCACACTTGTCACTACTTAAGATAGTGGCCATGGTTGCAACTGGCTTGCCACAGGACAATGCAATAGTTGATGATTCACAAATGCCCCTTTACTGCTAACACATTCAACACCAATCAATAATCAACTTGTGTCTCTTCCTAAGGTGGTTGCCAAAGAGAAAAAGACGACCTTAGGAGGCTCCTTATTTCCTCCATATGTCTTTTCAAGCCTCATAGGTCGAATCTCCACCACAAAAGTCTTGGTAGAAAGAATTAACCGAAAATACTCTGTACTTGAGATCCCCCAAACCAAGGAATCATGACCCCTCATAGCCCCTTTCCACAAACCTACACCATGTGGCACCATCCCTGTGGATGAACTGCCCCAATCCTTCCCATAATGCCGTTCTATCACCTACATTTGTAGTTTAAAATTTAAACTCAACAAGTAATCTCAATTTGCCAAAATATCAATGTCAAACAACCAAACTATAATTCAATAGCAACCACTCAAATTGCTAGAGATCATGACACAATGATTTGTATGTAAGACATTGAAGAAACTTATTCCCAAAGAAAAACCATAGGCACCCTGGTGGTGTAAATAATCCAATATATCAAGATTACAATTACAAGACTCAAGAAAAGCGATTTACGACCCAAGCCAGATACACTTTAACCTTGACATCTTGATCCGCAAAAATCCCTGTTCAATTTCCACTCACTGGTGGCTCTGTTAGCCTCCTCTTGATACTAGACTGCAACCGCAGAATCCTCCATCCTACACTATGCAGCACTCCATTTGCAATCAACCAGGGGCAAGGATGTAGTGCGAGTGTGTGGGTTTTTAAGAAAACACTTGATCCATTTGCAATTGACCAGTGGCAAGGATTTAGTGCGTGTGGTTTTTTAAGAAAACACTCAATCCAGAGAAGTGTTCTTAATGCTATCAAAAGCATTTGGTATACTTTTCAAGGATAGATTATAGTTAGGTTTTCTGTGTAAGCTTAGGTCTCCAGAGAGGCTAGGAAAACCAAATTTACTTTCAAGTTTCAATGTAATTAGCATAGAAAACTATTGCCCTATATATATAATAAAGGAGTTGCATGATTTCCAGAAATTTATGTGCTGCTTCAGTGCCCTTTAGGTGAGCTTCGAGCAGGGTTTTCTAGTCTACCTAGATCAAGCTGCTTTGTGCTCTCTTCGAGTGGGGCTCTCAGTTTTCGCCAATTAGCCCTGTTTTTCTAACAGTAACAGATCCAGAAAATATATAGGATTGAACATAGGTCAAGTCAGGAGAATTTGGCAAATAAAAACATGTTCAAATGTAGTTATAAGCTCGAAACCATGATTGTATACCTGGTGTTGATCTTCAAACTGCAACACCAAGAGAGACAGACCTGTAATAATCCACCCAGACAACCCTAGCCCACATTTTGTGCACAGAACTTGCATGTAACAACAATCAAATGGTGGATATACAAAGAAATCATCTACCGAAAATAAGGATATATAAAGAAATCTACTAATTCTAAATAAGGATTTCTTAATAACAAAGTTTTGGGTAATTCAGATGTGAATTATTTTAGAACAATTCAGATGCTAATTACTACTACCATTTAGTTCTTCAAATCTAGAAATGCACACCCCATATTAGTCTTTATGATTGAATAAAGGACAACTTATTTCAGATAATTTTGTTTTCCCATTTTTGTAGAAGCTGTGAGATTTTTCATACATGCACTTGTACAAATGGACCCTTGAACATTATAAGGTTTATAAGAACTTCATTAGTTAAGTGTAGGAAACACAGAATAACTCGCCGTAAGTACAAAATAGGATTGAGCCAATTGTTGCATGACAATATCTGTGAGGATGGGATACCTATACCTGTGCACTTAGTTAAAAATTCAAATTTATCTTTCAGGCTCGACCATTGCTTAGCCAAGCTCTTGATACTGAGGAATTTGAAGGCTTAGCAGATCCAAGGCTTGATAAGAACTACGTTGATAATGAAATGTTTCGAATGATCGAGGCTGCTGCAGCTTGTGTGCGACATTCAGCTGCCAAGAGACCACGAATGGGACAGGTAGTTAACTTTGGATTCACAATTGATTAAGGGTTGGTTTGGCAAGGGCTCATTGGGCTTTTTTGGCTCAATGAGCCATAAAAGACAGAATAGGCTCATGAGCCACAACAGACAAAACATCCCATCCAACCCCATAATCATTACACTCTTCTCTCACAAAAAAATCAAAAAAGTCAAAAAGCCAAAAGCCCTTCCCAAACCAAGCTTTTGAGCCCAGGCTCGTATAGTCAAAAAAGCCAAAAAGCCAACCCACTTCCCAAACGGAGGCTAAAAAATTTTCCTAAATTTCTTCTTAGGATATGGTGTTCTTATTCTAAAAATGCTTATGCTTCTCAGGTTGTGAGAGCTTTCGATAGCATGGCTATCTCAGATCTAACCAATGGAATGAGGGTTGGTGAAAGTGAAGTATTTAACTCTGCAGAACAATCTGAAGAAATTAGATTGTTTCAGAGGATGGCATTTGGGAGTCAAGATCACAGTACATATTTTTTTAGTCAAGCTAGCTTGGATAGTTAAGAGTATGCCGCCGATATTAGACAAGATGAGTGCATTTTTACTTAACCGAGAAATATTGAGGTTTTGTCAGTCTTGAACCTGGCTGCATCAGATGTAGGTACCGAGGTCAAGCTCTTTGATTAAATTTTGTGAGTAGGTTTATTCGCAGCTTATACATATTAGATTATGATTTTTTTTTTCCTAGCAATTTTTTCCCTTGTAAGTAAACAGATGGAAGTTCTTGTTATCACCAATATGTTTTATTCAAAGGTTATTGTCATCCTTTTTTCAAATTCCCAAGCTTTTTGTTTTTAGCAGCTATAAGAAAAAACTGAATGCTTTTGTGTTGTAATTGTGTAAATCCGCATAGGAAGTGAGAAAAATAATAAAAATTTTAACAGCTCTCTATGCTCGTGGATGGAATAATGATAACAGATAATAATACAAAGGGTTAAAAGATAAACAAAGAAACTATGGGGCACTTGATTCGTGTAAATGCACTATAGTCTAGAAGAATGAATGTTTCAGAGAAGATTAGAAAGGTGTTATTGAAAAGCATTTTAACAGAAAAAGCAAGGAACATGTTCATGGCAAACATGGCCAGTAAGTACCATCTCTGCAACATCTAATACTTGTGGAAGACAATGCTTATTTATTTCCTTTTAAAGAGTTCTTTCTTTTGAGATTTTTTTTTGTTTTTATATATATATTTATTTAACCAAAGGCAAGCTTTTAAGTTGTTGAAACCCCTTGCCTCCCCACACCTGCATTCGCAGCTCCTCTGTTCACGAATCCCCGACTAGCAACATCTACTCTTCTCTTATTCATCAATCCCCGACTAACTAGCACAACCTCTACTCTTTTCCATCGCTATTGTCATAATCTGTCATCTCCTACCCCCACCGTTGCATGACTGACTAGCACAACCTCTACTCTTTTCCAGCGCAATTGTCATAATCCGTCACCTCCTACCCCCACCATTGCATGCATTCCCCACTCCCACTGCTGTAGTCACAGCCCCTCCCCTCCCTACCACCGTCTTGTAATCTCCTATTCTCCATTCATGTGCAGACAACGGTTAGAAAAAGGGACAACAATTTACAACCAAAAAGAAAAAAAAAAAAAGACAAAATTGCATGAGAGTAAAATTGTCATTTTAAAATATAAACAAATCAAATTTAAATAAAAAATAAACTTTGCGCGAGCAGGACTCGCACATTTCTGTTATCTTTGCACTTTGGTATTAATCTCATAGAGATTTAATTTTTTAGCTTAACCTTGTGAGTGTAATATATCATTAATTTTTTTAAAAGTTTTGTTTGGAGTGAGTGATTTATTAGTTTTTGACATATTTGGAATTAGCTTTTTGGAAAAAAGCCAAGAAGCCAACCAAAAAAAAAAAAACTTTAAAAAGTCAACAACAAAAAAAAAAAGGTCATTGAAAAAACAAGTTATGCACACCAATTATTCACTTTTTCATATAACTAAATCACATTTGTTTGGTTTTGAGTTTTCAAATATAATTTTTGAGTTATTTTTTATTTTCTGTGTTTTGTGGTTTTTAATGAACTTTTTTAATAATTTAGTTATTTTTTTAAAAATATTTTTTAGATGCACATAATGCATCTAAAAATAAAATATTTATGAAAAAATCTATTTTTTTAAATAAATAAAAAATATACAAAGATATACTAAATTTTAATATTTTTTTTATATTCAGTAATTTAAAAAATTTATTCACAAAAATTTTGTTTTTATGTGCAAATTTTTTTTAGAGTGGGATATTTGTAAGTACATTTCAAAAGTACAAAAAATTGATTATATTTTACAAAAATACAACAAAAAAAAATTAAAAAACTCAACTGAATTTGAAAATTCAAAATCAAGTCCTCTCATAAAAGATAAAAAATAAAGTCAAAAAAATCAAAACTCACTAAAAAATAAATTAACAATGATTCGTATCACTAAAAAAAAAAATCACTAATAGCACTAATATATTGGGAATGCCAAAAACAAAAAACAAGACATTATTAGAAGTGCTATTAAAGTACCACTTTTAGTTTTCTCAATTATTTTTCAAAATAAATGAAACTCCAAAAGTTAAAATCTTGTTTGCCATCAATTAAAAAATAAAAAATAAAATAAAAAGCACGCAACTTTTTCACTCACCAAAAGAGTAAAAGGAAAATGTCTCGTAGCTCAAATTTTATGACTCAAAAGTGGCTCAAATGGCCAAAACGACGTCGTTTTAGCCATTTTTATGTTGTTCTGTACTCAAAACGACGTCGTTTTGGCCATTTGAGCCACTTTTGAGCAACAAAATTTGAGTTACGAGACATTTTCCTTTTGGCAATTGTAAAAAAGTTAACTTCTTAATTTTTTAAGTTGCATCATTTCTTTTTTTTATACGTATTCTTTTTTACAAATTTAAAAAGTCTCCGTTTGGTAAGCCTGTCAAATTATAATTCCACCCATTAATTTGAGTATGGTATTTGTTTTGAGCTTTTAAATTATAATTCTACACCAATTTCTCAAAACATAATCATTACTTTTCAAAACTTATTACCAAACACATAATTCATTTTTAAACATTACCTTTTTTTAATTAGATTAAAATAATTAGAAAATTAAAATAACCACATTCGCAAACGAGGCCTATCTATATAATAAGGGAGCTCTGTTTTTCAAATCAGATGGGACATTTGTCCCTTTGTCCAAATTTTGACCATTAAATTCATTTAATCTGAGGGTCAAAAACATCTCCCTCTCATCTCTTTCAACACACACTCTCTCAACACACTCCCTCTCTCTCTCTCTCAGATACGCCTCTCCTCTCTGTGTTTTCAAATTTTGAACACACTCTCTCTCTCTCTCTCTCTTTCTCTCTCTCTCTCTACCTCTACCTCCATTGGAGCCATTCCCGTGCTTCCCTGTCGAAACCCAACCCAACCCTTGCCGTGCTTTCCTGTCTTCATCTTCTCTCTGCTGTCAACAAGGGTTCGTCACTACCGGAACCGGACCGAAGTCTGTCCCCGGCCAGAGCATCACCGTCACTGTCCCCGATTACCCCTCTCTCTCTCTCTCAAGCCAATATGTATGTATTTGTGTGTATAATATATATAATTTGCATTTTGGATGTATATATATGTATACATATATATACATAGTTTGAAATGTTGAACATGGTTAATCTGAAATGTTTGGGTTTGAAATGTTTGATACACAATTTTGATTTATGAAATGGGTTTGAAATGGGTTTGATGATTTATATTGAACATGTATGTATTTGTGTGTATTATATATATCATATATGTAATGGGTTTGAAATGGGTTTGATATGTTTGAAATGTTTAATCTGATTAAACAATGTTTGATATATGGTTAATCTGATTAAACAATGTTTGATATATATAGATGTATGTAATGGGTTTGATATGTTTCATATGTTTGAAATGTTTGATGTTGAACATGGTTCTGATTAAACCAAACAAGGCCATTATATTTGATTCAAACCATCAAAATATACTTATAAGGCTCAGTGAATCTCACATGGCACAACATGCTCCCCAGGTCCGCTATTTTGAGAGAGTAGATTATAATAGTAGTCATTGAGACAGTAAGGAGGGTGATGGAGATGATGCACGTACTGAACAGAGAAAAGGATTAGATTTTGGCAGAAACCCTGTAATTGAGGGATGGGTTTTAGGGTAGGAATGAGACACTGTTTGGCTTACTGATTGAGTGTTTTATTTATTTTGTTTTGTTTTACTTTTTTGAAAATATGTGTTGAAGTGTTTTTTTATTTATTTTTTTAATTTCTTGCATCCCTATAACAGAATCACTTATATCTCATATGTTTGTATTTTTTTTTTCTGTTTCACGGTTAAGTAACTCCCCCATTTTTTAAATATATGTACTGTATGTAAATTATGATATTTATAAAATTAATCATTATAAATGTCATAATTGAATTCTTTTAATGTTGTACGTAAAAAAAAATTGAGTCATAATCAAATATTACATAAGACATACATAATCAAACTAATATTATAATTAATATCACAGTAAATTTAATATAATTGGAGTACTCCCATCAAATTAAGGATTGGAGTTTGGAATTTTTCAAAAAGATTTGCTGAAAAAAAATAGTAAGGATTGGAGTACTCCTATCAAATTAAGTTTTTAACCAAGATTTCAATTGAATTTGATGAAAAAAGAGGAGTAAGGATGGCAGATATATGTACTATATGTAAATTATACTCCTATCAAATATATGTACTATATGTAAATTATCATTTAGTTGTTGATGGATGGCAGATATTATTCTGAAGGGGAAGAAGACAGTTGTAGATGTTATGCCAATTGCTACAGGTCATGAACGTGAAGAACTTTAGGCCGAACTCAAGGTATCCTATTGTTTATTCAGTTCAATTCATGTGTCTGATACGTATGTGTAATACCTTATATATTTGATAGTTTGAGAGAGAATTGAATGTGAATTTAATCCAATTCTTTCATTTAGGGAATGAATGTTCTGGAGATGAATTATGTCCCCAAGGTTTGAATTATTAGACTTTTGTTGTGTACTGTGGTTTAATCCAATTCTTTGATTGTGCTTTCATTTGTATCCATTGAGTTCTGCCTTATTTATATGCATTTTGATCCAAATCTGATATGCATTTATAAAATTAATTTGAAATGTTTGATTTCTCACATGGTTTTATGTATCTGTCACATCCAATTGTGGGAAATTATTTTTAATGTTTATTAAATTATTTTTCCAACATCTATAGTCCTAGGGGTGTGGATAAACATCTACATCTGATGTTTATACATAGAAATTATTTATGTATCTGCAACATTCGAATTTATTAGTTTGTAACATTCGATAACATTTGAATTTTATTAGTTTGTAAAATTAATCTATTTGGACTTAAATTAATCTATTATTAGTTTGAATTTTATTAATTTTATTAGGAGTTAAATTAATTTTATAGATGTGGTAAGTATGGAAATTTAAACCACATTTCGTATATTTAGGGCGTTTTTTTTTTTTTAATAAACAAAATGAAAAATTGGAAGAAGAAAATAAACATACCTTCCTCTGCCTTTTAGGGCATGTTTTTTGTGTTGAATGTGTTTATTTTTTGTATTAGTTTTTGACTTTTTATCTAATGTTTCAAATTTAACCAATATAGATAGGAGTTAAATTAATATTTGTTTTTGTTTTTGTTTTTTTTTTTTCTTTTCTCCTTGAATGACATTTAGGGCATGTTTGATTGGTAGTATTAGTGGTACTATTTTATTAACATGTTAATCAAACAAGGCCTTTGTTTGAGTTTTATTTATTGCATAAAACACATGTTTATTAGTTTGTATAGCATTTTGATAACATTCGAATTTATTAGTTTGTAACATTCGATATGTATATATATCTGTGTATATGATTCCAAACCCCAAACCCCCTATTTATGTATGATTCCAGCATATATATATAATATTGAGAAGTCATGTCTAAGAAAGCCATGTCTAACAAAACCTGTGCCAATAGAAAATTGGAAGAATATTAATATTAATTTCTGTTTTCTAGGCAACCAAACAAAGGGCCTTTTTTTTTCTAAATAAAAAAAAATGGAAAATTGGAAGAAGAAAATAAACATACCTTCCTCTGCCTCTTAGGGCATGTTTTTTGTGTTGAATGGGCTTATTTTTTGTATTAGTTTTTTACTTTTTATCTAATGTTTCAAATTTAACCAATATAGATAGGAGTTAAATTATTCTTTGTTTTTTTTTTCTTTTCTCCTTGAATGACACTTGGGGTATGTTTGATTAGCAGTATTAGTGGTACTATTTTATTAACCTGTTAATCAAATAAGATCTTAGTTTGAGTTTTATTTATTGCATAAAACACCTGTTTATTAGTTTGTATAGCATTTTGGTAACATTCGAATTTATTAGTTTGTATAGCATTTTGATAACATTTGAATTTTATTAGTTTGTAAAATTAATCTATTAGGAGTTAAATTAATCTATTATTAGTTTGAATTTTATTAATTTTATTAGGAGTTAAATTATTATTATTATTTTTTTCCTTTTCTCCTTCAAGGACACTTAGGGCATGTTTGATTAATAGTATTAATGGTACTATTTTATTAACCTGTTAATCAAAGTGGTACTATTTTTATGAAATTATTTGTTGGCTTTTTGACTTTATGAAACAAAATTTGCTATGGAGGATCAATAGATGTATTCCATTCCACTGCATTATTTTCTATGAGTTGGAGAGGCATTTGAGTGCGACAAGATGAAAAAAGAAGAAAAGAGAATGTCATAGTGCTATTCTTATATACAAAATATATTACCTTTCTTGGTAAAAAGTGTCATTGTCCACATGAAATCACTCTAATATTTTGGGCACCAAAAAATGCCATCCCATGAGAAATATATTTGGGGCTTCATGAATATATTTTTTTGCATTTGTGTGTAAGTGGCTTCTTATTTTGTCATGGTGGCTGACCACAATCACTCTTCAAAATAGGCAATGGCTTTTTTAATTTTAATTTTAATTTTTATTAAACTAATTTGAAATTGATTATTTTATTGTGTACATTTTTATTTATGCAATCGATCCCATTTGATGGGACTTAAGGCTGGATTTAGTTTACTCATCTAAATTTGTTTGTTTCATCTGAGATGATCCTAGAACAATTTGTGATCAATGTAACTTTTGATATAGTGGTCTTCCTATGGGTTTTTTGATATACTATTCAGGGCTATATTTGTTTGGGTATGCTACATAATACATAATTTCTCTTAAAAGTTTTAGGAAAAATCATCCAGCCTTTGTAGGTTGATTGATTGATCCTAAACATTTTTGGTTGTTTGATCACAACTTTGAGACACTTTTCATAAAACATTTTCATGGTCGTTAACATTTTTGCAACACATAGATTGTAATATAAGAATTTTATTAGATAGTGCATTCAGGCATGGACATAAAACACCTATTTATTAGTTTGTATAGCATTTTGATAATATTTGAATTTGATTTACAAATAATGGGGAAAATGGAAAACTGAGTTTTGATTGGATACAAGTGTATAATTGTATTTTATGTATGTATATATATGTATGTATGTGATACAAGTCCATAATTTAATTTTATTTTTTGTGGCTTTTTAAATAGAGAGAATGAGTTGATTTTATGTGTTAGTTTTTGACTTTTTAGCTAATTTTCCTATTCGCAAACAAATTTAACCAAAATAGATAGGAGTTAAATTAATCTTTTTTTTTTTTGTTTTTTCTTTTCTGCTTGAATGACACTTAGGGCATGTTTGATTAGTAGTAATAGTGGTACTATTTTATTAATCAAAGGTACTACCCATTTATTAGTTTGTATAGCATTTTCATAACATTCAAATTTGATTTACAAATAACGATTTATTAAATGTCATTCATACACAACCAACCAAGCATTAATTAGTAGCTAACAATTGGCCAAATGGAAATCTGAACTTTGGATATCTTTTGTTTTAATAATCTTTCAAAATATTAATGAATTGGATATCTTTAATAATCTTCAATAATCTTTTGTTTCAATAATATTGACAACAGGTTTAAAGCATTGAGTCTGAAGCATTGTGGACTTCCTTAAGACCTTTCATATCCAAACAAGGTAAATAATCTTTTATTTTTATATATGATTATGAATGTATATATATATCTATACATATGATTCTAATATGTATGTATATATGATTTCAAATCCCAAACCCCCTATGATTCCAGTATGTGTATATATATATATATTGAGAAGTCATGTCTAACAAAACCTGTGCCAATTACTTAACAAATTGAAGTGAGTTTCTGCTTTTTAGGAAACCAAACAAAGGGCGTTTTTTGTTTTTTTTAATAAACAGAATGAAAAATTGGAAGAATAAAATAAACATACCTTCCTTTGCCTCTTAGGGCATGTTTTTTGTGTTGAATGGGTTTATTTTTTGTATTAGTTTTTGACTTTTTATCCAATGTTTCAAATTTAACCAATATGGATATGAGTTAAATTAATCTTTGTTTTTTTTTTTCTTTTTCTTTTCTTTTCTCCTTGAATGACACTTGGGCATGTTTGATTGGTAGTATTAGTGGTACTATTTTATTAACTTGTTAATCAAACAAGGCTTTAGTTTGAGTGTTATTTATTGCATAAAACACATGTTTATTAGTTTGTAGAGCATTTTGATAACGTTCGAATTTATTAGTTTGTAACATTCGATAACATTTGAATTTTATTAGTTTGTAAAATTAATCTATTAGGAGTTAAATTAATCTATTATTAGTTTGAATTTTATTAATTTTATTAGGAGTTAAATAATTTAGTTATTTTTTTTAAAATATTTTTTAGATGCACATAATGCATCTAAAAATAAAATATTTATGAAAAAATCTATTTTTTTAAATAAATAAAAAATATACAAAGATATACTAAATTTTAATATTTTTTTTATATTCAGTAATTTTAAAAATTTTATTCACAAAAAATTTATTTTTATGTACAAATTTTTTTTAGAGTGGGATATTTGTAAGTACATTTTAAAAGTACAAAAAATTGATTATATTTTACAAAAATACAACCAAAAAAAAAATAAAAAACTCAACTGAATTTGAAAATTCAAAATCAAGTCCTCTCATAAAAGATAAAAAATAAAGTCAAAAAAATCAAAACTCACTAAAAAATAAATCAACAATGATTCATACCACTAAAAAAAAGACCACTAATAATACTATTATATTGGAAATGCCAAAAACAAAAAACAAGACATCATTAGAAGTGTTATTAAAGTATCACTTTTAATTCTCTCAATTATTTTTCAAAATAAATGAAACTCCAAAAGTTAAAATCTTGTTTGCCATCAATTAAAAAATAAAAAATAAAATAAAAAGCACGCAACTTTTTCACTCACCAAAAGAGTAAAAAGCCACTCCACTTCACAAACACATATCAGCTTTTATAAAGTTTATAGAAAAAAAAAGTTCAAAGAAAAAAAAAAACAAAAATAGAGAGGTGATATAATAAAAAGAAGATAAAAAGATGAATTATTTAGGGGATGTCAAACCACCCCTAAGTTAAAATAACTTATTAAAGAGTAAAATATGTTTATATTTAAATTATAATTATTTTATTTTTTTTATAATTATCAAATTAATTATAAAAAACATCAAATTAACTTTTTAAACATAACTTTTTTTTAATTGAATTAAAATAATTAAAAAATTAAAATAATTAACTTCGCAAACGAGGGTTATATATATATATATTTGGTTTTGTAATTTATTGATATGTTTATGATGTCATCAATACATCACAAACTCGGCGTTGAACCGGTGACTCAGTGATCCGTTCCTTTTAACGTTCTTTTAGGGTTTCAGAGCATTCCTCCAAAACCCTAGTCTAGTCGTTCACCCTCAGCTACTACAGGGTTTCATCCATTCACAACCTACAGGGCATCAATTTCTCGTTAATCGGTTGGCTTTCTCTCTCTATCTTCTCATTAAATTTTGGTGCTGTTTAGTTGATTTTTTGAATGCGACGCATAAAAAACAAGCTTTTTATATCGTTCTTGTTAGATTTTTTTATTTTATTTTTTTATATTGAACTTTAGTTTGTGCATTAATGTTTTGAAGGATGTTTCTCATTTGATCAGATTTAGTTCAATCGGAGTTTTTGATTTCTAATAATTGTTAGGTTGGGGTTTGGAGTGAGTTGTTGATCCATGTCTTTGATTGTATTGTAGCCAATATTTATTCTTTTTATTGAATTTGCAGTTTTTTTTTTTCCCCTTCAGATTTTTACTTTTGGTATTCGATTGTTTTAGTGCTAAAGTCAGAATTCTGTTTGCACGATATAGGTAATTCAGAGTTAGGCTCCAGGACATTCAATTTGGCTAGGACTGGCTCTTATTTTTCTCTGTCTGTGTTTTGGCTGCAAAATTTTGAATTCACTTGAAATTTTGGCCGGCTTTTCAAACATTGGCCATGAAGCTGGATGTCAATGTTCTGCGGTATCTATCCAAAGATGATTTCAGGGTTCTCACTGCTGTCGAGATGGGCATGAGAAATGTCTGTCATTTGCTCTTTTTCTTGTAATTAATTACTTGTTTTCAATTTCCAACCATTTTAATTCTTCACCTTATTTATATCTCCCCTTAAATTTTCTATGTGGATATCATTATTTATTTATTTATTTTGAAATAGTAGAAAGAAATCATTTGTGACCGGGATCATATGTGGGGCCAAGAGTGTCTGATTCTTCATCTCCGTGTTTTACTTTCAGCATGAAATCGTACCTTCGGAGCTCATTGACCGCATTGCCGGTCTCAAGTACGCTTCTCTTTCTTTTACTCTGTATCTGTATCTATTATTGTTGATTTAATTCTTTCAAGTATAAATTGCTATATTATTATTTTTTTTTGATAAATAAATATAAATTGCTATATATATATATATCTTCAAGCATGCCCAGTGATTAGCTGAATGGATGACTTATCTTTTCTATTTCATTTCTTGTTATATTTTTATTTTATTTTTGGTTTCACATTTCCTATTTTAAAAACTGTGTTTCATATGAACTTGTCTTTGTGTGTGTGTGTATATGTCTATACAGGCATGGAGGCAGTTACAAGGTGATGAAGAACTTGCTCAAGCATAAGCTGTTACACCATGATGCTTCCAAATGTGAGTAATTGTGTGGCCATTGCCCATACGTACTGTTTTAAAATAGTAATATCTCAAGACCTTGCACACCCACCTGATTATCATTTTTTAAAAATTCTCTGTTATCTAGATGATGGGTTCCGGCTCACCTACCTTGGTTATGATTTTCTTGCAATTAAGACAATGGTTAACCGTGGAGTTTTTTCTGCTGTTGGTCGTCAAATTGGCGTTGGGAAAAAGAGTCTGGTAATATAGAAATTCTTTTTCATTTGTATTATTTTTCTATTCTATAAATTCACATGTTAATGTTACACAATGATTCCAACATTTATTGTTTTTAAGATATATTTGAGGTTGCCACGGAAGATGGTAAAGTTCTTGCAATCAAGCTGCATAGGCTGGGTAGAATTTCCTTTAGAGCTGTCAAATCTAAGCGTGATTACTTGAGGCATCGGAGTAGTTATAACTGGCTCTATTTATCCCGTCTTGCTGCTCTCAAGGAGTTTGCTTTTATGAAGGTTCTTTCATAGTCATCATCTGCCTTTTTGATTACTTTATGTTGAGCGAGTGTATTGTTAGGCAGCATCAGTTTGAGACTTATGTGTTGCTTGGGCAGGCTTTGGAGGAACATGGTTTCCCTGTTCCAAATGCTGTGGACTGTAATCGGCATTGCGTGGTTATGTCACTTGTCCAAGGTTATCCACTGTAAGAGTTCTCTTTCAAGTGCTTTCATACCATATGTATTAATACATCTTGCTTGTCATGCTTTTCTAAAATTCTATGGAAAATATTTCTTACCATTTATTTTTTGTTTCTAGGTTTCATCTAAAGCCCATTGTTTGGTTATGTTATGGTTGGAGAATTCTTATGTTTTATTTTTAATTGGTAAAGCGTGACAAACACCCAAATGATTGGAAGACTATTGCCAATTTGGCAAAGGCATAGGCAGTCAGTTGTTATTTGTAGGTCATATACGAGGTAAACATAATTGATTGTTGTTGCAAATTGAGAGAGAGCAATTTTCTTTATGTTTGTTGTTGGCTGTGGGAGAGAGCAATTTTCTAAAAAGAATGCTTCCATGAGGCTTATATTATAGCAGCCATGTTTGAAAGGAGGCTAACATATGAGAGATGAGGAAGAAATCTCTACACCATAAGACCAAATGATAATAAAAAGTATTCAAAGCAACTTCATAGGGGCAAACTCTCCTCTTGAAATTACTGCAAATGCAGTCCATATACTAAAATTGGAGGGAACACCAAGGAAAGATAATTGTAAATTTCTGAAAATGATATTGAAAATATATGGTTGCTTTTGGTAGAGTTTTGTAAATATGATTTGAGAGTATAAGTTGTATTTTGAGTTTGTGAGTTGTGGAATTATGATTTGAGTGTAGAAAATTTGTTTGGTTATGAGTTTTGAATAGAGTGTTGAATTAAGTGTGGAATTGAGTTTTGAAAGTTTGATTTGACATGTGAAGTAAGAAAATTTGTTTGGTTATGAGTTTTGGAAAGAGTTTTCAAAACGTAATTCAAATTATTATAACTCATAACAAAACACACTACTTTTACACTATTGAAAATTCTGATCAATACTCATAACCAAACTCTTTTTAAAATTCAATTAAAAAAAATTATTATTAACAGAAAATAATATTAATCAATTTTTTAATTGAAAATACTACAAAGGAAATAATTTTTTTTCAAAATAAATATTCAAAAAATTTAAATCATAAATGTTTAAATAATTTAAATAATCTAAAAAATTTAATAAGTAAAAAATTAAAATAAATATTCAAAAAATTTAAATCGTAAAAATTTAAATAATTTAAATATTCAAAATTTTTAAATAATTTAAAATGTTAATATTTTAAATTTAAAAATAACTCTACACTCAAATCGTAACTAAACACATAAAACAAAACTCAATTAAGAAATTATTTTTAAAACTCATAACCAAACACATAACTCAAAACTCCATATTACTTTCACAACTCTACACTCAAATCGTAACTAAATACATAACAAAAAAAATTAAAATATTTAAAAATATTTTTGTAAAATAGAGTTTGAATTTATTTTTATAAAATATTTTAAAATTTAAAAAATTAAAATCGTAATATTTTGAAATTAAAATATTTAAAAATATTCAAAAAATTAAAAATTAAAAAAATCGTAACATATTTAAATATTTAAAATATTTAAAAAATTAAAATATTGATTTGAATTGAGTTTTGAAGAGAGTTTTGAATTATGTGTTTGGTAATTGGTTATGAGTTTTGAAAAGTAATGATTATATTTTGAATTGAGTTTTGAGAAATGAGTGTAAAATTATGATTTGAAAGCTCCAAACAAACAACACACTCAAATCAATGGATAGAATTATATTTTGAAAGGCTTACAAAACGGAGCCTATATTTTTTAAACAGTCAGAATTTTTTTGGTAGAATTTTAAGTTCTACTAGCAATCCCTTGCCTCACTTTTCTAGCTCTACCCACATTTTACTTTTAGGCTAATAAATTATTGTGGGTAAACAAATACAAATGTTTCTTAATTCTATTAGAGATGATAGCTTGGAGAACTACGAAGATGGCAGAGTTCAAGATTAGCACTATAGAGCTGATGCTGAGCAAGTTTGGGAGATTTACTGTCAACTATGGTTAAATTGTGTCTTTGCCACCACTAAATTCAACAAGATCCAATAAAAAAAGGTTCAAACTCTTTGCATACTTTTAACATCAATACTGTAGTGTGGTTATAAATAAGAGCCAATTAAAAACTACTAATTTTATCATTGATGTTTGTGAGCTAAGTTCTAAAATAATCCTGTATTGTATAAAAGTTCAAGAGTTAACCCACTAATGAAGGTAGGTTTTGAGATTTACATTTGTAGGAACTATGTTGCGCTAGTTTGGGAGATGTGTCTTTATTGATAAATGTCTCAAATTCCTAATTTGATATATTTCCTTTTATGGAGTATTATTGTGTGACAAGAATTCCCTATTCCTTTCGAAAGAAGGAATTTTGGTCTAGGGCTCTATGAAAAAAGGGTCTAGGATTTAGATTGTGGTGTTCAGGAAACCAAATGACTCAAAAATATAGCAGCAAGTTGTGCTGAGCAAGTTTGGGAGATTTATTGCAATTCTGGTAAATTATGTGTTTGCTACCACAAAATTTGATAAGATTTCAAGACAGTCTGAACTCTCATTGCGTACTTCTTAATTCAATACCATACTGTTTAATTGTCAACTTTTTATTATGTCCTGGCCTAGAAACTAGTTATCTAGGAGAGCCAATTAAAGTCTAATACCCAATAATAATGTAGGGTTGTTTTTTGGTAGTCAACAAGGGGTGAGAATTAGCCAACATTCTTTGATCATGCTACTTTACCGAACTTTTCAATCTCTCTCTCTCTTGCGCGGTCATACGCACTGTGAAGAAGACTGAAGATCAAATTTGGTGTAAAATAGGCTTCTTAGGAAAATTTTCGTAGTCTCTTTGTGTTACCTTTGAAAAAGAAAAGTGAAATGTTGATATAAAAGTTCATGGAGAGGTCATTAAATTGAGCCTTTTCTCTAGAAATTTGGAGATCTGTTGAATTGAGTTTCTCTAGAAATTTGGAGAAATGTTGCTACTGCTAATCTGAAAATGAGTAATGACGGTAGATTGACTACAAGAGACCTGTTTTTTCTATGTTTGTTTACGTTAGGTGAAGTTTGACCCTCAACTTTTTTATATGAACCACAACACTTGTCTGCTGTTCGACGAATAAGCAGCTTCGATGAGTAACAATTTTCATGGTATCAATCAAATTGCATTCAATGTAGTGTGCAGGTGAAGCAATTGCAAAATCCAGACACAGTTTTTGAAACAATCGTTGGTCTTGTTGTTCGACTGGCAGAGCATGGCCTCATTCACTGTGACTTCAATGAATTCAACATTATGGTATGCCATCATTTTTCATTTCGACGCATCTTATGCATCAATTTGAAGTCAATGATTTTGTAATTTTTAATTTAATTTAATTTTTGGGGTTCATTATTTAAGTTTTTCTTTGATATAGTTATAGAGCTTTCTTTGCTCATTGCAATTGTTGGACTTTCACTGCATATTTTTCTGTGTACTCTTTTTCATTTATTTTTTGATTTCTTTTGTTCTAGATTGATGATGATGAGAAGGTCACAATGATTGATTTTCCGCAAATGGTATCAGTATCTCATCGTAATGCACAGATGTATGAAGTATTTCCCGTGTGATGCTTTGTCAATCTTTAATCTTACACATCTAATTCTAGTCATGAATTTTATCCTGAAAATTTCTGCTTCAATTCAATATCTGAACCAGTTATCAGTTATCATATTTACTTTATTGATAAGTTCCATTTTTTAGGTACTTTGACCGTGATGTTGAATGCATCTTCAAGTTTTTCAGGAGGAGGTCAGTGGTTAATTTGTCTTAGGCTTTTGATTTGAATCCTTGAGAATAACCTGAAAATTAGCATCATAATGTTTCTGAGATTGAGCTTATGATATTCTGGGTGATGAAGGTCTTGGTGTTTGTGCAACCATTAATGATCATAGTTAATTATCTATTTTATTGAATAGTATTTTCATATAATTATTGATGCATTGTTTATCATTTTTCTTTTTATGGTTCTTTAGAAGTCTAATTGATATTTACAAAGTAGAAGTGTTTACGGAAAAAGTCTACATTTTGTCTAAGCCCATATAAATTGTTAAAGGTTGGTCTCCTCCTCTCCTTTTGATTCTCCTGTTTGTTAAAGGTTCTTCTCTCCCTCCTTGTTGAATGTTTGACTAGATTGAAGTTGCCTTCTATTTGCTGCTCCTGACAAATTTGTAATTCATAGTTAGCCCACTAACTCCGATTCCAAAAGATGGGCGAGGACAAGAAGAAATTAGTTTCCCTAAACTAAGTAGGGTTTCTTTCTCTATGTCCCATAATCTCTCTATGACCAAGGGTTAAATGTTCCATTAGAATCTCATCATACAATCGCAAGAGAGCTTTGACCGCTTTTAAATAATTCACTAAATTGCTCTCTAATCCAATGAGTTAAATTGCTATATATAGACTTGATATAATTATAACTCTAAATACTACTTGGATTCCATATTTGGAAACTAAGAGAGTTTGACTAGCAAAGTAGTTGGATTCCATGTTTACAAACTAAGAGGTTTTGATGATTAAACTCATGTCTATTAGTATTCACATGTGCAAACCAATATCATAGCTTGACGTATGTTCATACTTCTATTTTTTGCCGTTTGTTCAGGTTCAACCTGTCTGTTGAAGAACAGACTGCAGAATCTGATGGTTCAGATGTGGATTCAGATGAAATTAGGCCTTGCTTTTCATCAATAACGAAAGTTACTGATTCCCTCGACGAGGAACTTGCTGCCAGTGGGTTTACTAGAAAGGATCAGGATGACATTGAAAAGGTATGATGAGTTGATGTCTTTACTTCATTCTGTGGAGGCTAGATATTTTGTCCCTTAATATAGAACAGAAGGAGAAAATCTTTAATTTTTATCTTGTTTGTTATCATTGTACAATGCATACGAGAGTGAATGGCATTATTATAGTATTATCAAAAATTTTCCTTATTCTATTGGCTTGTGTTAATCAAATAATAGTTTCATGGTTTCAAAAAAAAAAAACAAAGAACAAGAAAAAGTTTCATGTGATTTTTCTTGCTGTCTCTACCCTGAAACCTCCTCGACCTTAAAGCATTTCTTTGTAGTTTTTAGTCTGCCTCTTCTGCTATTTGGTCTCATCACTTGTAGCGGTGTTGTAACCACCACAACAAACATGCCATGGTGCCCTTCTGGATTATGTTAATCAGTTTGGAGGGTGCATCTGCCCTACGCTTTATGTCATTCAAAAGATTTTTAATGACTCTTTTGCTTGTTCCATGTTTACCCATGCAGTAACACTAGTTGCTGTTCTTAAGGATTAAATTTGCTTTGAATTTGGCAAGATTTTTTCTCCTCTCTTCTTAAAACATATAGTTGTGAAATCAGATACATTTATTGTATTCTATGTTCTAATAAAGCTTCTGCTTTTGCTTTTTTTTGCAGTTCATTGAAGGAGATCTTGAGGACTTGGGTTCTGATGATGAAGGAACTGCAGAGGAAGGATATACTTTTGATGCAACAAATGACGCCGACATCAGGCATCTTGATTCTTTGCACTTGGTGGAGCTGGTAGGTTTTTAACAATTATCGTTCTGACTGGCTGTCCTGTTACTGTTGTGTTTCATCAAATGTCAACTATTTATTTTTCTTTTTCCAGTAAATGACTGAGAGAGTAATAAAAAATCTAGTGCATGTTTCTTTTATTTGTTAGCATGGGATGAGCACGGTAAGCCAGTGGTCTCATTTTATTTAACCTGACTTTGAAATGGGTCCTGAATTGGTGGGAAGAAAGTGAATTTGGTGAAAGGAATGGATTGCCATGAGCCTTGAACTGCAATTTTCAGATTCAAGCTCTTGCTGTTTCAGTTTTTGTTTTTGAAACTAATGTAGTCCAATTCTTAAATTCCACATTTTATTCTTGGAATCTGGATCTGTTTTTCTGCGACTGATGCATGGGTCTTGTTAAAAGATAAACAAAAAGGTAAATGGGTTTACATGCGAACATTGGATGTCACTTTTCTGTTTCCAAGAACTTTTCTTACTCTCGCTGCTCCTTGCAGGTATGAGTCATGAGAGTGAGAGGTGTTGCGTGAAATCTTCACATTTTATGTTAAGCCTTCCTCTTCTGCGTTTTTCGTGAAATGTTATTTATTTATTGTTCACATTACATAAAAGAAGTATCATGTTATCGCTTCTAGTCACACACAGCCACATCAACCGGAATGGCTTGGATTGCACTACAGCTGTGAGGAAAAAAGCACTGGATAGATGTTGGTTTAATTTGTCAATTTGTTTGTGTTTTTGGTTAGATTTGTTCACAGTTTATGCTTCTGTTCTTGCATTTGACGACTTGCACGAGGACTTGTCTAAATTTCAACTTCATTATCTTTTAACCTAAACCTAAAATAGTCATATATGATTATGTATCTATGTCTTCGTTGCATTGAGCATGATATATTCCATTTTTAATGGACTTCTACATGAGCAGATTGGGACTTGTGATGAAAAAGGTGAGTCAGAGAAGAATCAACAGTTTGCTGAGGCAGAGCCGAGTACTGAAACTGAGACTCAGAATGCTAGTGGCAAGGTACATTTGCTGGCATTAATAATATTTTTGCTAGTGTACTGTGCTATCTATATCTTTCTTTTTCAGAAAGCTTGCTATCTGGCTGCAGAAGATGTAAATGTCAATTTGTTGCGTCGTGATTTCTTTCTTGCACATCATTAACCAACCACCTACTATGTGGGCTCTGATTTCTATTGAGGTTTGAACCATTTCTGAAATGCACTCCATGCTAGATAGTCAGAAAACTCGCCATCTGGCATGGGAAGATTTAAATGTGAAAAGACTCTATTTGTTGTGTTGTGATTTCTTTCTTGCACAAATGAAGTTTGAACCATCACACCATCTATGATATGCAATCCTTGCTATAGTAGTCAGTAAACTATCTATCTGGCTGGCGGAGATATGAATGCCAATTTGTTTTATTGTGATTTCTTTCTTGCACATCACTAACCAACCACTTACTAATGTTTTTGAAGTTCGAACCATCACACCATCTGTGGGATGCAATCCCCATTATAACTGTCAGTAAGCTAACTATCTGGCTGGGGAAGATCTAAGTGTGTCAGATCTGTTTATGTTTGTCATTTCACTGTTGAACATTTGATATCTGGTTCTTTGTTTCTCCAGAACTATTATTTAGATTTCCTTTTTAAATATGTATATTGTTCTTTTCCAGGAGGAAGAGGAAGAGGAAGAAATTGAACAGGAAGATAATCCAGACTTGACAAAGCAGCTAAACAAGCAGAGACGGCGAGCCATAGCTGCAGCCCATGGTGGACGGAGGACTTTTGCCTCAAGAAATTCATACAAGGACAAGGGTGGTCGGTCTGGTCATAATTCCAAAATCCAGAAGCAATTGAGCAACTGGTGAGATGTTTAAAAAAATCATCAAGAAAAATGCAAGACGAAGAAGCTAATGTTCATTTTTTGGAGAGGTCAAAGAAACAGGACAAGAAAGCTGGAAAACCTACTAGGATTTCTGGTTCATTTTTATTAGATAATGTGTGGATGAAACTGAAACAGAAGCTTGTGATTCAATATAGAGAAGGGCTTGTTAGGCTGCAAAGATATGATTTTGTCTTATGTATTATATATCATGTTGATACTCCTATTGGAGCACAGTTTGAATAATTTTTTACCTTAAGATCTGTCTAATTTTGAACCGGACTTGACTAGTAATTATCTAATAATTGATAATTTTGATAAATAAAAAAAGGACCTTTTTTTATCTTACGATTTCTTGGTGGTCTCTATATGTGCATGCATGAGCTACTTAGCTAGGGTCAAGTTTTGTCCAAATCTACATGATAATGCATGATTCATGTTAATCTTTCTTCTTTTTTCTTTTTCTTGGGTGGCATACGCTATTTTCACTCCCTCAAAAGTTTTGGAGATTTTTTTTCTTGAAGTTCTCTCTCTCCTCTTTTCTTGTTCTTCTTCTCTCTCTAAAATACAGGTATGATGCAAGATGAGTCAAAGTGGAAGACAACTCTACATACTACACGCAGGAGGGGACATGTGCCCCCTCCTAGAAAATTATTACACAAAATAGTTGTCTAAGCCTCATAATTACCCTCTAAAAAACTAAGCTTGATAATTAAAAATTTGGTTATTACATTTAAAACAAATCTAATATTTGTATGCTTTGTATACTATCATAATGTACTCGTTACATAAAATATTACGTCCATTAATTTTCAGTTCATTGTACAAAGGATTAATTAATACTTTGGAATGAATGTGATTCACCAAATCTTAGACAAACATTTGACAAATGAAACGCCCAATGAGGGATAAATCAAGTGTGTCTCAAGTTGATTGATATTTCACAAAGAGAAGAAGAAATCAGTCTCTCAGAACTCCGAAAAATTGGGTGCATTTGGAAGATAGGGCATGAATAACACACTGGAAAATTTTCAAGCAAATGTAAAGAAAAAGAAATGGTGACGGATCGTTTGTCGTCAAAATCATTTTCTCAATGCAATCTCAGTCGCACGATCGTATTTTAAGATTCCCGTGTTTTGAAATTTTGTCACATCGGCGGTAGGCAAGCATTAGAGACAGAAGAATAGAGATTTTGAAAACAAAAGATCATGTGGTAAAGGCAACTATGCTCATTTCAATGCTACTTGCATCAAAATGTATCAAGTTCCATTAAAATCCAAATGCTTTGTAAGAAAATGGGTGAAATTGTATTTTCAAGAACCAAGATATAAGCCAAACCCACAATATAAAGAGATTAATAAACTGCAAGATGTGTTTATAAATATTTCTATTATTGAGAGGAGTTGAGGTATCACAATTTCTTGTTACAATATACTTCCCTTTTAGTACAACTCTCCATCTCCTTCAATCATGTGCACTTGAGGTCCTATATGAGCACAAAAACACAAGAAACAAACTAAAAATACAAAAGAAAATATAAAAAACAAAAGGAAAATGTCAATGAGATCTCAAAGTCAAGTAATCACCCATGACCACCATCTATCAAATTTTAATCAGAAATCATAACAACAACAACGATGACGATGATAATGACGATATCGTGGATGAAAAAAGACATGATGTGCACACCATTAACAACATATATACCACAAAAAACACCGGCTAGGACACGGTGAGGCCAAGAAAATCAGCTGCTGATTTTCCTAAAATGCCTGCAAACTCATTAAAACTAATGACACCATCTCCATTGGTATCGGCCTCAGTCATCATCTCTGACAACTCACGATAAGATAAAGGGTGGCCCATCTTGGCCATTTGGCCAGCTAGCTCGGCTGCAGTGATGTATCCATTGCCATCACGATCAAACGATCTAAAAACCTCCATGAGTTGCTCTTGATTGATCAAAACCTCCTCGCTCATATCGGGTAAAATTGCTTTGACCAATTCATCAAACTCAATAGACCCATTTCCATTTGAATCCATGTTAGCCAATAGAACATGGAGTTGGTCACCATTGGGCTTGAGTCCAATAGAACGAAGGAGTGCCGCGAGCTCAAGATGTGTTAGGCTTCCATCGGAGTCCATGTCGAAGCGCTTGAAAATGTCTTTGAGTTGTTTGACTTGATCGGATTGAAGCATAGTCATGTCAATGGAGGAGGAGGAGGAGAAGATGATAGAAGAAGAAGAAGAAGAATTTTTTTTGGGGACAAGAATGGTTTGATAGGTTTGTTAAAGACGTGGGGTTGGGGTTTTCTTGATTTGAAAATTCAAACAAAAAAAAAAGCAAGAAGGAAAATGAAAGCGCGTTGTCCTACTGTGGAAAATGATTTGTCAAAACAGTGCTTTTTGTCTGTACAACAACCAAAAATAAAAAATTAAAAAATTAAAGCATAAATTTGGGTATATGGGCATTATGGTTGTTCATGTGAGGGCTATTTTTAGTCAAAGTCTTGAGTTTTGAATTGGGAGGGCTATTTTTAGTCAAAGTCTTGAGTTTTGAATTGGAGGATAAGGTTTTTTGAAAATTAGATAATGTGTTTTTTTTTCTTTTTTCCTGATATATGTTTAGGGACCTTAAACATCGAAAAATAATTTTGTGGATCTCTTCCATTACGAAAAGTGGGGGAGGGACCCTAGACTAATTTTCCCCTAAAATTTATTTATTTTTTTCACTTTAACCTTTTATGTTTTAAATTTTTTTAATTTAACTTTTATTAAAAATATACAAAAAATGACACATTAACAGTGACGTGATATAAAAATATTATATTATATATAACTAGGATTATAAAATGGCCCGCAGCATGGAGTGGATCCGGCTCGTTTGGGCCTGGGCGATCATTTTGACACCTGGCTCGGTCCCGCCCGGCCCGTGGCCCGGTCCATCGGTCTGCTTAAGGCCCACTCAAAACCCGGTGTCTCTTTTAGTGGAAAATAATAAAATTTTGGTAGAAAAATTTTAAAAAACAAAATAAAAAAATGTTTAGGCCAGCCCAAACTCAGCCTACCCAACGCCCGAATACTCCCTGGGCCTGGGTCTGGGCTTGGGCCTAATTTTCTGGCCTGTGAGCCGGCCTGGCCCAGCTCGAATTTTGGCGAGAGCTCCCGAAGCCCCGGGCCAAATTTACACCCTTATATATAACTTAAAGGGAAAATTGGTCTAAAACCCCTACCCAACTTTTGGTATGAGGAGAGATCCACAATAATACTTTTTGATGCATAAGGTCCCTCAATGTAATTTTAGGTTGTAAAATACTTATTTTACCCTTATTTATAATATACGTGGTTTTGGATTTTGGCAAATGAAGTTTATATTGCTATTTTGTAGGAGATTACGTGGGGATGAACTTGACAATGGAGATTTTCTTGGAGAACTTGATGATGCAGATTTTCGTGGAGATTTTCTAGGGATTTTGTAGGTGTTGATCGTGTAGGAGTTAAAGTCGTGTTGATTGTTTTTGATTTGATTTCCAGTAGAGTTGAATCAGGTAAGTTTTCGATTTTTGTTTTGATTTGTATATAAGGATTTCGATTTCATATTAGTTTTTCGAGTGTGTTTTGAATTAGGTTTTTGTTTTCAGTTTTGATCAATGTAAGAGAGAGGCCAGCTTAGTGTAGTTGTTTTTGATTTTTGAAGTTGATTTTTCATTTTCTGCTATTGATCAATTTTAGGAAGAGGCTAGCTCGATGGAGTTGATTTTGATTTTTGGAGTTGATTTTTCGTTCTCTATTTTTTTATTAACATGCTTATCAATGATAAGTTTTGTTCTCTGTTTTTGGAGATCAGCTCTATTTTTCTGCACTTTTCTAAGTTTTGTGCTCTGTTTTTTCTGCACTTTTCTTTGTAGTCCAGAGAAAATTATAGGTTTGTTATTATAATCCAACGAAAATCACGAAGAAAATTGTAAACTTGTAGTCTAGTGAAAATTAAAGAGAAAATTATAATTTCATATACACATGTTATTATAAGCTTGTTATTTTTTATTTTTATTTTTCTTAATTGAATGTTTTGTAAACATAACAGATCTTCTCTATGATTTTTGTCTGTGCTTGTGTTTAATAGTTAGCATTTTTGTCTTTTGATGTTAATGTGTTTTTGTTTTTGTTATCTTGAAAGTGAATATAAGTCCGTAAATTTCTCTGAACTTTTATTTGAGTTCAGAGAAAATTATAAGCTTGTTATTATAAATTTCTTTGGACTTTTGTGTTGTACTTTTTATGTGTTTTTATATTGAACAAGTTATTTTTCATGTTTTTTCTTTCAGTTTAGATGGACAGTACAGTATTGTTACTATGCAAATATGGGAATGATACTATTGTCATTAATGTTTCATGCGAATTGAATTTTGAGGAATTATTTGGCATTTTTGTGTAAAACATGGGAGAATTTGAAACCTGAAACGATCTGTATTTCATATTCTATTGTGGGCAATCCGAATTGTATGGTTTGAAATAATATTGATTTTCTGAATACGTTGAGGGTTGTTTGTGTACGTGCTGTTGATATAGTTGATGTTTCAGTTGTTAGTACTTCTGATCAATAGGATAAAGTGTGGTCTAATTGGGTAGATGTTGTGCATGGTGAATGTGATATGCTCGTGGATATTGAAAGGAATTCACTTTCTAAGTTTTGTTCTCACTAAAAGAAGGTGTTATTGTCAGCTGGTTGGTGAAATAATATTAGAAATGTTGGACAAAAGTTTGAGGGTAGCGTGGTTGAGTTCCGTACTGTTTTGTGCAAGTATGCTATTGAGGTTGGTTTTGAGTTTACGTATGTTCAAAATGACAAGTTGAGGGTTACAGTAAAATGTGCATATAAGGAATCAAGGGAATAACCAACTAGGCTTAGCCTAGTTGGCCACCATGACTTTTTTAGGGCTTAATTCCAAGGAGGTCATTGGTTCAATTCCTCTTAGGGGAGTTGAATTAAGGGAGTGCAAGTACTTAGGTGCTTTGCCATGGGTGAGGAGATTTTCTCCCATAGATGCTAATCTAACATCTAACAACTAACATTTGCCGATCAAAAAAAAAAAAAAAAGAATCAAGGGGATATATGTGGCATATACATGCTTCAGTTGAAAAAACAAATGAGTTATTTTACATAAGAACTTTAAACAATGAGCATACGTGTGGTGTGGCGGTTCGTACTAGGAATCATGGTAGGATGACTTCCAGCTTAGTTTCCACTTGAAGAGGTAAGTGCAAAGCCTTTAACTCGTCCAGTGGATGTTGTCAAAGAAATGAAAGACAAGTATGAGGTCTCAATCAGTTATAACTGTGGTTGGTTAGGGGTTCAAAAAGCAAAAGATAGTACATATGGGGGATTCTTGTTTGTCAATCAATCAATTACGATGGTATTTTGATGAGGCATGGAAAAACAATCCAGGTAGTCGTTTTGGGTTAGATTTTGAAGATAACAAGCGTTTCAAAAGAGTGTTTGTGGCTTTTCATCCATGCATTTCTGGTTTCAACTATTGTCGACCATTGTTGTTCCTTGATGGAGCTTTTTTGACAGGACAATACAAAGAAGTTATGCTTGTTGCGACAGGGAAAGATGGAAATGAAGGTAATTGTAAATATATCTAATTTTCTCTAAGTATGTGAATTTTCTATAGATGTGGGAATTGAGCGAATTTTCTATTTTTGTGTTTATGTTTTGTGAATTTTCTCTAACACTGTGAATTTTCTCTGGACATTGCCACTATGTGAAATTTCTCTGGATTTGGCCACTTGTGAATTTTCTTTGGATTTGACAATGTGTGAATTTTCTCTGAATTTTGGCATTGTGTGAATTTTCTCTAGTTGTTTATTGTGCGAATTTTCTCTGCATGTGTATATCTAATATGCTTGTTTCTATTTGTTTTGTAGGATTTTTTCCTCTAGCTTTTGCCATTGCTGACACTGAGAATAAAGACAATTGGTGTTAGTTCCTTGAACATTTGTGTCAATTATTGGGATTGAAGAGGGTGATAAGTTTCATATCAGATTGACATTGTGGTATTGTGGAAGGAATTGCAAGGTTTTTCCCTAATTGCTATCATGCATTTTGTCTTGAACATCTAAAGAGAAATTTGAGGGATAAGTTATCTTGTGGAAACACAAATTTGGTTAGGGAGACGATCGTGTCCAATTTTTCAAAATGTGCATATGCACCAACAAAGGTATCATTCCATTTCAAGTTAAATGAATTAAAATGTGAGAGAGGAGGTATTGTGAGTGTTTTCTTGAGAAGTTTACCATATAAAAATTGGAGTGATGTATATTTCGAAGGAAAACGTTATGGAAAAATGTATTCAAATATTGCTGAGTCATTCAATTTATGGATACGAGAAGCTCGACACTTGCCAATAACAAATTTAATGGACATGATATGGTTGCAAATCATGAATATAAGGTCTGATAGGAGGCTACTTTCTAGTAAATGGAATAAAGTTTTTTGTCCTCGTATGGATAGTGTGTTGGAGAAGGCTTTCATGGATGGAAGGACATGGAATGTGAGTTTATCATCTGATAATGTGTTTGAAGTGCATTGTTTTCCTTCGGTTATGGTTGATCTTGGGTTCAAAACTTTTTCATGTCGGAAATGGGAAATAAATGGGTATCCATGTCAATATGTTGTTGTTGCAATTTTTAGGAGTGGAAATAATTTGAATTCATTTGTTGAACCATTTTTTCATGCTGATATGTATCGTCAAGCATACTTGTTTTCGATTGGTTCAGTTTCAACTATTGAAAAACTGTCATGACCCAAACCCACCTCTATGGGTTTAATACCGTAACCGGCCAGTAATCCGAGATTACCGAAGGCTTGCTTAACAGTAATACAGTAATACAGTAATACAGAGTACAAGGGCTGGCGGAAGCCAAAACAGTAATTAAAAGATGTCCAATGAGCTGTGACAGTCTGTATACAAAAAAGACTTTTCAATACACATGTACAATCAGTACCAAAATAGTATGTACAATATATACAATCATTCAGGACAGGGACTTAATCCCTATTAGAACAGTACAGTACAACATCATTCAGTCTATACAGAACATAAACAAAGAGGGAGAAAACTAAAACACCCCAAGCAGCCTCAGCTTGAATAGTTCTGGAACCTCAAAGTGAGGCACAAAGGTTGGCTTGACAAAACAAGAGTTAAGCTTGACGCCCTTAGCAACGGTCCGGTGCCTGAACACCTACATATATATATGAGCAGTGAGCTAAAGTCCAGTGAATAACATATGCGTAAAGAGGTTAAGAATGAATGTCC